TGTGTGTATGTATGTGTGGGAGAAAAAGTGATGACGGTGGTGTGGTTTCGATCGTTGGATCGAGATCGATGATTCGTTACGAAATATATATATATATATATGTAGATCAGAGAAAGATATTCGTCACACGGAAGAGACGAAATAATCGAAAGAGATGAGAGAAGAGGAGAGAGAGCGTAACCTGCCACCAAGGAAGACAGAAGAGAAGAGAGAAGAGAGAGAGAAGAGAGGAGGGGGGGAGGGCGTAATATATAAAGAAAGAGCGGTGGTGCGGAGAAAAGCACAGGCGTGGTGCACAAGTATAAGCGAAGCTGAAACATATTGAAAACAAAACAACGCTCGTCGATTCTCGCGACTATCGGCTTCTCAAGCTCGAATGCGATATTTCCGTTCTAGCGAACAAACGGTACAATTCTGCCAAGCCAAGCTTCTCTTGGACCGTTTCTCGAATTGTGCTCGATGAAGAAGCAGACCGAACAGAACGCTTTTCAGAATCAGTTCCCAAGCTTACTTACTGGCTGGTCTCTTTGGCGCTGGCAGCTCTCCCTCGGGCGGAGATCTCTTCACGGCGATGCTCTGCTCTATCGAGGTAGGAGGCATCGGGGGAGGAGGTGGCGGAGGCGGCGGAGGCGGCGGTAAGCTCGAGTCCTCGGCGCACATAGGACTTCTCGAGGTCTCGTGCTCCTGAGACTGTTGTTGGTGTTGCTGCTGCTGTTGCTGTTGCTTCGAGTCGCTGAACAGATGGGGCGGCATATCCCGGATCTTGTGGGTCAGCATGTGCTGCTTCATGTTCCCCTGCGGGAGAGAAAATAACGATTGGTTACATTTATAAGCAGGCCGGACTTGCGTCGAGTTCAATCACTTCGTCGATTACACCACTTTGCACCATTTCTCGCTGTTTCGCATCATTATTGGCTATTATATTTGTATTTATAAACGTTAATTTAGATTTCTTTTTTATTTCTCCTTTTTTTTTTTTATTAATAATCTTGTTTAATAATCTCAATTTTCAATGGACAAAAATTCATCTTGTTGCATTCTTCGAATGAAAATTATATATGGAGATTGGATGCGAAAGCGGAAATAAAGATGCATAGTGGTGTGATCATAGTTATCATTGTGTTCATGTGTCAAAATTCAGCAGGCTCTTACCAGGAGGCTGTGCGCCGAGGGTAGAAGTCCGAGGGCGGGCGACATCAGCGGGGGTAGGCGGATGGCAGGATAGACAGGCGTAAGCCCCCGCCCCCCTCCGGCTCCTTTCCGCCCCCGGTTCTTCCGATCCTCAGGTCGCCGCCGCCGCCTGCGTTTCGCTTTTTCTCGACTACTGGCGCACGGTGATCCGAATTGAGGATCGGGTGAAGTGATCGAACTGTTAGCGGGCAACGGTTGAGACGCACAGACGCATGCTTGCTGCCCGGAACCATCGTTCTGAAATTATCGTAGAAAAAACAAAGATACAGAGCTGAGCCTATAGGCTTCGTGTTCATCGTGATCCAATGATTTTTTATTAATTATTTATTTATTTATTTATTTATTTATTCTTGCAATGATCGATGAGCGAATTGTGATGAATTTTTGGAAAAAATTAAAAAGGTGCTTTTGCGTTAGTATTGCTCTAGTTAAAAATACTAGTTTCCGTTTCTAAAAGCGACGAAGCGATGAATGTTTCTCGTGAAAGAATCGTGCAACGATTTATAATGTTACCTTTTTTTTTTTTTAATAAATATTTATAAATATTCTTCTCTTAATAATGTTGTATTTGGTATTCTTGAAATGGTCGATGGATGAAATTTCAGTTCTAGTAGTATAATTAAACAGATTTGTTTGTTGTAAACATTTTATTATTTTATTAAGGAGGAGAGGAGAGTAAGTGGACGATTAAGAAAGTTTAGAAAACGGAATTACAATATTTTTAATAATCCTTGAATTTTCTCGATACTTCAATCTGTATGAAATTATCAGGTAAAATTCGAAACGCCATAAAATCGGTTCAAAAATTTTTAAATCTCGAACTTGAAAACTTCGTATGCCATACGTAAGCAGTTGCAACAGCTTACGTAACGAAAAATTATTACTTAAAATTAAACGTAAAAAGTAATTAAATACCATAACCATAAAAAAAGAAATAAAAATATCTACGTGAAGAGGAACAAATTTACACACCTCTAATGATCTCTGTCAAAATTATTACTACCTTTTCGAAACTTTCAAATCTATCCTTAACAACGATCCAAGAAATTAAAGAATCTTAACAATTCGTGCGATAAGGATTAGAACAAAATTTCTTGTCGCTCGAATCGAAATTCCCATCGATCCACTCGCTGCACGATCCCCCTTCCGAGATTCGTTCGGTGAGCAGCAAACAATTCTGAGGGATGGACGCGTCCAATTCGATCCTCCCGATCCATCGAACGCATTCAAATTCACTGTACCTTGGTCGAAAATCCTCTGTCGCATATGGTGCATTTGAAAGGTCGTTCCTTCGTATGGCTCCGGTAATGGATCTCCAGCGCGGAGTTGCACGCAAATGTCTTGTAGCAGATATTACATGTGGTGTTTCCACGCACTGTAACAGATCGTACCTCTTTACAATTGCTTCCCGACACTTTCACACGCTTCTACCGTCCGTGAAAGCAATTTGTAACCCGCGATTCGAGCGTAAACTATCCGTCACGAACGCGAGAGGAGAGAGAGAGAGAGAGGTTTTAATCTAATCGTTTAGGACACGCGGCCTGAAACGTTTAGAGCCGAGACGCTGGTCAACGCGAGGCCTCCGGAACCCGAACCTGATCGTTATCCAAGCTAGCTCGAAAACAACGTTACAGTCAACGTTGACGTTGTTGGCAGTTTGAACGGAAGGATTGAAATGAATCGTACAGGCAGCAATCCGTTTTTCCAAAGAAATTTATTTATTTATATATCAAATATCCATAGTTTCGATTTTTTCTTTGCGCAAAAAAAAGGGATACAAAATTGATATTTGTGCACGCAAACTCTGTATCTATATCCGTATATATATATATATATATACTGTTCTTTTCTATGTCGAAGAGTGATTCGAATTGAAA